TGGGGAATTCTGGGAGTTGAAGTCCACTCATCTTAAAGTGGCCAAGTTTGGACATCACTGGCCTATGAGATGGAGACATGCCCCCTCACGCCTGGAGCATCATGTAGCTGAGGCAGGGCCATGCCCTTCACACCTGTGGAGACACACCCCCTCCCCTACCTTGGCCTATGAGATGGAGACACGCCCCCCCACACCTGGAGCACCAAGTAGGCTGAGGCAGGGCCACGCCCTTCACACCTGTGGAGACACGCCCCCTTCTCTAGTTGGGCTGTGAGAGGAAGACACCTTTCCCTCACCTGGAGCATGAACTGAGCTGAGGCAGGGCCACGCCCTTCACACCTGTGGAGACACGCCCCCTTCTCTAGTTGGGCTGTGAGAGGAAGACACCTTTCCCTCACCTGGAGCATGAACTGGGCTGAGGCAGGGCCACGCCCTTCACACCCGCAGAGACACGCCCCCTCCTCCCCTACCTTGGCCTATGAGATGGAGACACGCCCCCTCAGGCCTGGAGCATCAAGTAGGCTGAGGCAGGGCCACGCCCTTCACACCTGGGTAATCCACCTGGAGCCCCCTTCTCCCTGCCCGGGCGGCCCTTGAGGATGAAATGGTGACTGGCCTTCTCACCCCTGGAGGACCACCACCCAGGCTGAGACCCTGTGCTCCTGTGGAGTTCCGCCTGCAGCACCTGCTGGAGGTGGCCCTTGTGGTTGAAATGGAGGCCCACCTGTCAAACAAGGCACGTCCAGTGAGCTTGAGACAGAGACGCGACCTTCATGCCTCCTCTGCCAACTTGGCTTTGAGGAGAGCTTCTCACCTGGATTGCTTCCTGGCCTTGCAGCCAGTTGCCTCCTCCATGCCTGTTGCATCCATTGTGCTCGAGGACAAAGTCCGACCCTCTCACACCTGTTGTGTCACTGAACGTGTGACGGAGAGGCATTCCTGACACCTTGGGCAGAGCCGGGCCTTCCTTACACTCAGCGTTACCTGTGCTGAGGCAAGACCACAGCTGTAAGCCAAGGTTAACAAGCTACAACGTTTTGGCATGCGCCATACACCAACAAATGAATCACATTATGGCAGGTTGCGGGAAGCTGGTCGTAATGTTGTTAGGAGGCAATGGGGTACTTGGGTTAGTTTGTTCCAGCGTAAAGAAGGCAAAAAGTTGGGTGGCATCTTAAACAGACTAACATTTATTATACCAGTTAAAATAGCAACTGTTGAAATAAAGCAGGGGAAGAAAAAGCGGGATTTTGTTTTAAAAACATAGGACTTATGCCAACAAATACAGCATCCGATTCTACAGAAGTTATTACATAAGGGGGAAACATGGCCCATATTTACATAACAAAACATGGCGTCTGTATTCACACATGACGCTCGCTTACTGAAGGAATCCGTTTCTTGGGTCCAAACCATAAGCTAATCAAAGTGGTTGGATGAACCAAATGCTAGGCTCCAAAATAACTCGAACGCAACCAAAATGAGCTTTATTGTACAAAAGCAGCTGCTAGATTTGCCACTGGCCTGGACAAGTGGGTTGCGTAAACAGAAAATGTCCAAAATAAAGCAGAAGGACCTAAGAAGGCAGGGCGTGTGGAAACCCATCAGTCCCCAAATTCCTTGCCACGCCTTTATTTTTAAATAGACATTTACAGAATATTCACAGCAAGCTGGCATGCTGCAAAGCAAAATGCCACTTTGGCATCGCTATTTCCCAGGATAATTCTGGGGGGCTCCTCGATATTATTTGAAAATAAAAATGGTATATAACAAGAGTAGGGTCTTTAGAAGCGTGCCCATCTGCCCAGAAAGACGCGGGTAGAGTGGAAAGGTGTATCCGATCCTAGGGTAAAGTTAGAGGCAAAAGGAGGAACGCTCCAATTCGTCTCATGGTTAAACAGATGTTTTCTGACTAGCCACCATAACAGCCATTTTGTGAAGAGACAATCCTTCCCATAGCTGCCATGTTGTGAGAGCACCCACAAAAGGCTCTCAAAACTCCCAATGGATCCACCTCTCCCTGAAATAAAGTGTCGCTTAAAGTTCAGACCTTAGGCGCCAAAGTCTGTCACGCTTTTCGTTAAAAACTCCTCGTATCTGATAGCGCGTTTAACAATGGACAGCCACACCACCCCAGTGACAAAGAACATAAGCCCTATCGAAAGACAGATGGGGCCAAATGCAGATGGGAGATCGATGCTGTGGCTGAAGTACAAAGCGGACAAGCTGATCCCAGTCAGAAAGACGAGGACTCCGGTGACGGCAAGCGTAACTGGCTTGTTGTAATGCACCCATTTTCCCTGCTCTTGGATGTTAACCGTTTCGTTTCTCATTCCCAAATAGACGTTGGAAGCACCGGTGGAAGATGGTGGCTCATCCTTGATGGACAATTGCTCTACTGCAGACATGCCAAGATCTGGGTGGTGTCCATGAAGAGGATCTAGAAAATTCACAGGTATGAATTAAGGTAGTAAGTAGGTCTACCCAACAGGAATATTTGATTTGGAAATGAGGAAGATGTAGAAAATGAAGCAAATGAGAAGGTGCCCACCCTAAAATGTTGAATCTCCTGAAGTCTTTATTTACTTGTCTTACAATTTCTCATGAGGGTTTATGCTAGATGCTTAAGATTGATTGACTGATTGATTACATGCCATCAAGTCACTGAAGAATCTCAGCAATCACATAGATTTTCTCCATGATGATCTGTCCCTGACATGGTATTTCAGATCTTCCAACAGCGTGCCCATCAACACTGTAACTCAGCCCATCCACCTTGCTGCTGGTCATCCTTCTCTTTCCTTCCACCATTGCCTAATGTGTCCAAAACTTAAAATAAAAACTTGCTCAAACTGAGGGCGACTCTTGGTGACTACAAGAACATGTCCATGTAATTTTCTTGGTAGCACTACAGAAGTTTGCCCCTGCATTCTCAGATTTTTTTAAATTTCCTAGGCCTGCCCACATTCTGGCCACATTCTAGTTCTTCCTCCTCTTAGTTCTTGGAGGGAATCAATCAAGGTTGGTTAGATGTTGCCACCAACCTGTGCTCCAAATAAAAGCATAATGCCAGCATAAAGAAAAATTAGAATGACAATTTTACTGTCCTACAAAGCAGATACAGTACAGTCTTGTGATTTCAGCTTCTTTATTATGGAGGAGTTCTTCCTAGAGAAGGTCGGTCTATAAGGTTATCTCTGCGATTGCTAAGAGTCAGCACCAGCTTGATGGTGCATAAGCAATCAATTGTGGAAAAGTACATTTTTGGTTCCTTAATTTTCATGTACCTTAGGTGCTGTCCACTGGGGACAAGAAATGCTATGCTTTTCAGAGTCGTGAGCTGGCAATAGATTTCTTTCTTTCTTTTGAGGGACAATGTGGGCAGGCCTTTCTCAGAGCTTGGAGTAGGCCTCAGCAACTACATGCTTCCACCATAGGAGGCTGTTTAGAGCTTGGCTATTAGATCACAGCAGAAGAAATACATATAATGAATGAATCATCTGGAGTTTTACAAGCCAGCTCTAGGATTTATGATACCTGGAACCATCATCCCACCTGCCTTTTAATGTGGCTGTCCTAACAATGAGAGCTGAAAACATTCCCTTTTGTTGCGCTGAACTAGATTTGTTTATGTTTGTTTGTCCTATCTCTGCCCTGCTTCTGGCTTTGTAATTATTTTAATGTTTCTAGGTACATTTCACTACTCTGACAGACCCCTATGATTCCTTTGCACTGAATGAAAAAAAAATGTTTTTCATTTTTTTGAATACAAAGAACACAAATAATATAGAACCAAAAAAAAAAGAAAAAAAATAAGTGTTCTAGGTCATTTGTTGGCAAGCAAGCAGACGTGTAAGAAAAAGTAAATATGTTACATAAGTTTTGATGAAAACTGGAACGATAAAACAAGTACATAAGTGATATACTGCATTTTTAAATCTCTCTAAAAGGTATATATGCTTTCTATAATTGAATGAGTAAGACATATTGTGCATTTTGCTTGTAGGAAAACTGGGGAAAACGGCATTCAACTGAGTGCTTGTTTTAGCATTCAATGCTTTGTGTATATTGACACACAATGATATCACCATAATTTGCAAACACATGTGTAAATAAACCAGTAGAAAGATAAAAAGTCCCCCAGCATGTGTTTCTTTTCTGCAGTGTAAGAATCAGTGATAGCAGAGCCTGTCCTCGATGTGGGATCACACATCATTTAAAACATGATGTTTAACCATTCTTTAGTAAGTAAACCATAACTGTCTGCGACAGAGGTAGGCCCCTTTTTGGGAATGGGGACCCAACTGGAATCTTGAGATTCCCAAAACAGCTATTCTCATGTTTGCAGCAGGCCAGGTTTCCATGTTTAATTTTTTTTAAAGGTGGGGCAGGGAGGTTTCTGGGATTATGTTGGAACCTGCAGGGGACACATGGGTCTGTACAAGCCCCCAAACCCAAGTTCATACAAACAGGAAGCCATAAAAAAGCAAACTATGGAAGAGGAAGAGGAGGAGGAGGAGGAGGAGAAGAAGAAGAAGAGGAGGAGGAGGAGGAGGAAGAAGAGGAAGAAGAGGAAGAAGAAGAAGAGGAGGAAGAAGAACTCCCAGCAACCCCCATGGAGGAGGAGAAGAAGAGGAAGAAGGACTCCCAGCAACTCCCATGGATTTTGTGCAATGCATGAAGCTAGCTTCAAAATACCAGCAGTAAGGGATGCACCAGTAGAATATAAGAGAAAATATCTAGCTTTTTTAAAGGGTTTTTATGAAGAAGCTACTCCCCACCAATTTCCTGTATAGCGTTCTTCTTTGCTAAAGATGGACTTCACTTGCTCTTTCCAGCAGTGGTGTATCTTTGACAGCCTGATGGTGTGAAAATGGTTCTGAGATATCACGTGCATCTTTCATGGTATACTTAAGGAAGCAGAAGATCAGAGTTTTCACCGAGTTGCTTAAGAGAATATCAAGGTGTTGAATAGGAGAAAGATAATGTGGATCAGAGACAAAGGGACATCTAGTGAAAGCTTAATGGAGTTGTTTACTTCATCATGGAACACCTGTATTTTGCCTTATGCTAAAACCAGATGCATGTTTACTTAGAAACAGGATCCCCTTGGTTAACCCCCCTACAAATGATTAAGGCACTGGCAAATGATTAAAGTATGTTTTGCAAATTTTAATCATCTGCAAAGCATATTAAAGCAAACGCATTTCCTACTGGCAAAACCAGCCAAATAATATGTTTGAGGTGGTAAATCGTGTAAGGGGAGTCAGTTTGGTTTAAAGTGCCAGGCTTGAAATTGGGAGACTGAGTTCCAGACCCGCTGGAGGCACAAAGCCAGCTAGGACCCGGAGCCAGCCCCTCTCTCTCAGCCCTGGGAAGAAGGCAATGGCAAACTATTTCTGAAAATCTTGCCAAGGAAACTGCAGAGAGTTATCCATGTAACTTGTAGAAATCAAGTCTGATTCGAAGGCACAAAAAATAAAATAAAAATGATGTGAACAGGCTGAAAACCAGGCCAAGGGATTTGGTCTTTATCTGAGACTTGAAGAAAATCAGTAGGTTCACACGTTACACTGAGACATAAAGTGGCTTAATTAGTTATGGTTTAAGATACTGGGCAAACCCAGGCACTCGATAAATTACGAAGTCCAACACAGTGTGATGGATGAACTTAGCCACCCCCTCTGGGTTTGTAGAAGTCATACATCATGCTAAACCACGGTTTGCTTAAACTTATTGCATAAAGCACAACTGGCTGGCTTCGTAAGCTAAAGCCAAACAAACCATATTTTGATGTAATGCAATATATAGAAACCTAGTCTAGCCATTCCAGTCTTGAAAAGTGGTGGAAAAACCAACTAACACTAAGAGTGGCTAGGATAAGCTATAATTGTATTGGGGAGAAAGAAACCCAAAAATATTTTTAAAACTCAAGAGCATCTAAAGGGGGAGGGGGGGGAAGACAGGCAGAAGGAAGGAAGTCTTAACAACACATACTTTCTAGCAATAATCTTGGTATCGCAGACTAAAATAAAGAGCACACAATGCATGCATGCTGAAATTTACCTGTTATGCGCAATTTCATCAGGAGCCAGCTTTGGAAACTTGCTTGAAAATGGAATTTACATCCACACAAATCCCTTTCCAAAACTCTATTGGTGCAGCCCTTGAGGTGGCTGTTTCCAGCTGAGCTAACAAGCCCGTGCCAAAAACTCTCTGCTTCAGTACCATTATACATCACGAGTTCTGCTGTTCTCATTCAACCCACAGGATTGGGTGTTTAAACCAAACAATCAGTAATCTGAGATAGCTGCTAAAGACTGTGAGAGAGGCGGTGGCTTAGGAGAGAAAACATCATACTCTTCCAAGTTTTCCCTGAAAAGAGGGTCCCCATTTGCAGCACCCCAAAGTTTATTTTATTACAAATAAATTCCTGCACTCCTGCAGGTTGTTTTGTAACAGTTGGCCCTGCCACTGATATCAAGAAGGCTGCCTTTCAGGGTTAAAGATATACTGTAAACTCAGCAAGCGCAAATGTGAAAGAAGAGAAATGGCTGTTACATGCTTTGCTCATTAAACCGAAAAGCAAATGAACCACATTGTATCTTAAACCCAAATACACATATTTGCTCTATTGATACGGGCAGATCTGCAGACATGGAGATTTAGATCAGATCCCCATGCTGTCCTCCGCTGTGGCTGGTTTAAAAATAATCCAAAGTTGTGGAGTCTTTGGGGTTCTCTGAGCTTGGTTGTTTTCTTGCAAACGTTTCGTTACCCGACTAGGTGACATCTTCAGGGCTATCTGAAGGTATTCAGGTAGCACTGAAGATGTTACCTAGTCGGGTAACGAAACGTCTGCAAGAAAACAATGACGTTCAGAGAACACCAAGGACTCCACAGCTCAACCCTGAGCTACATATATTCTCTTCCATTAATCCAAAGTTGGTTAGGTTCACAAGATACACTCAACCATCATCCATGGGGTACAAACTGTAAGAGTGCTGTTCGCACAGCAGAAGCCTAAACCCATGGTGGAGGATGTTCTCGAGTCATTGGGGAAGGAGATGAACACCAGCACATGAAAACTGTAGGGTTTACCTTAGCGTTTTTAATAATGCAGTGGAGTGGTTGGAGCTCAGGATAAACCTAGTTCAAATCCCCATTCAGGCAAAAAGCTTTTGGGTAACCTTGGACAGGATGCATCCATCCTAGCCTACTTGGTGGGATTGTTGTGAAGGTAAGGCATTGTTTCTCAACCTTGGGAACTTTTAAGATGTGTGGACTTCAACCCCCAGAATTGAGAATGGGAGAATGTTGGCTGGGGAATTCTGGGAGTTGAAGTCCACACATCTTAAAGTTCCCAAGGTTGAGAAACACTGTGATAAGGTATGGGGAGAAGCCAACGACACCCCTTTTAGCCTCTTGAAGATAAGGTGTGACACAAATGCAACCAGTTATAATAAGACATTTATTTAGGAATCATGCTGGCTGAGAGAATGAGAATTATAATCTACCTGATCTAAGTCTCTTAAAGCTGATTCACATCTAGCAAAAAAGCTTTGCTTAACCTGAAGGCTGTATGAGAATCACTTTGGAAAGAGGTAGGAGGCTGTTTTTTTATGCCATGTCTTCAAACCCTGGGTTCTATTTTAAAAAAGCCAAATAGATGATAAATGGTTTGCTCTTAAGACCAGACCGGAGAGTTTATTTTATTTGCTGTGTTCTTCCAAAAGTGAGCTATTAAGTGTACTTAAATACAGAAAAGGAAATGTTGCCACCATAATTTCACCATGTACAAGTAAAACTTGTATGGGGATTGCAGCTATACTGCAAAGCTTTTAAAACAAAGATTTTTTTCCCTCCCTGTAAAAACCTTGCCAAAGGAATTCATTGCAGGAGGTTACATTTTTTTAGAACAAGCTCAAAATAGAATATATACTGTCTGAAGCATATGTACTATACAGAATGCTTTCCAAATGTTTGTAGCTAGTCTAAGTTGGATGGCATAAATATTTGGATTAAATTACACTTCAATTTCTATAAAAAGAAGTTGACATGTGGTTGAACTGATCTCCCTGACTTAAACCAAACCCCCCCCCAAAACAGAATTTATATTAAGATTTTAAAAATATTTTTTTTACTGAGAAAAGCCTGTATCTTCACTTGAAAAAGTTGTAAATCATGCAGTGTCATAGATTTTTACATTTACCAAGTTCTAAAAATGGAAACAGGGAGGAAAAAAAAGGCTGAGTATGTCTTTCCTTAAAACTGAAAGGTTAGTGGCTGAGAAAGATAGAGGAGTTTTATACGGTCTGTTTTTTGGATGGGCCAAATTTGTGAAGCTGCTCCTAACTCTGAATCGTTATGTTATTATAAACCAAATTAAATGGTCACATTCATATCAGAGCAACTCCAGATGGAAAAGAGAGTTTTTTGGAAAATTCAGCTTCAGAGAACAGAATAAAAGAGGTTTGTTTTATTCCTAGCCCCCAATGAAAAGCAAAATACAAGGTGTTCTACAAGTGGACCAGCATTGCATGAATGCTGCCAATCTTCTTTTGATCCTGATATGAAAATAGCCATTTTCCTCTGCTCACAGTGACAGTGGCACTTTCATTTTTCTCAGTTCACGTTTGGGAGTTTTAGATTTCTTGTCTGATTCGGGAGCTTTCAGCCTTTTAGGAGTCACCGCTGGTTTTGCCAAGGGCTGCTGGGCACGCTTTGGCGGCATCTTTTCCAAAAACTCTTGCTTGGGGATCTTGGATTTTTGGCCAGGCTGGAGTTGTTTTGATTTCTTGAGGGGTGAGACCGCTCCCAGTGTTTCTGACTGCGGGACAGGAGCCTCGGCAGACAGACCGGTCTTCCTGTTGCTGCGGAGATTCGGAGAGCCTGTCTTCAGCTCATTTCTTGCACGCAAACGCAGCTTTGCCACCTATTTGCAAAAGGGAAATCCAAGGCAGAAAGACACATTCAGAGAAAAATAACAGAATCAAAAAGAGCGTGAGTCTTCTCCAGTCTGGTGTCCACAACTCCGCAACCAGCAAATGCCATGAGCAAACTATAAGCTTTTTCTGTTTGACATTTCACCTCCCCTTTGGTGTTCGGTTTTGCCGAGCTGGGAAGCAGAGGACCAAGGAAAACCCACAGAGGGTGTAGAATTTTAAAAAAGGGAAAGGAAAAATTCATCAATTTTTCCACTGCCTTGCCTGAAACAGCTGGTTGGGTCACATTATTTAGAACTAGAAGATAGTTCAAGAGAGTTCTTGGGAGATATGTGGATAAGGGATGAATAGGTAAATTTAGAAAACTAGCCCCCAGGAAAAGGGAATGAGGTTCTGCTCACCACTGGGGCTTTCTTGCCTCCCCTGTGTAAATTCATCCCCCCATCCTCCAAGAAAGCTGCTTTTAAGACCCACTGGGATGCTTGACCAGTATAGGATAATGCAGAGCCGAGAAATGTTAGCAGGGTAAGGTAAACAGATATATTTAGTAGGATACCTCGCTGGAAACTTTTAGCCTCAAGGCAGAAGTAAGTGTTGCAGTGGGTGCCAAAGCCTACAGATTACAAGAAAACACGCTAGTAAGCTTGGTGAGAATTTTGAGAGTTGCCTTCCCAGTCAGCTGCAGCTCTTGGATGCTTATGTACGCTCGTGTTTTCTCCCTGTCTTTCCCAAAGGCCCTGCTTGTTGTTTTTCTTCTTTACCCTGATAGCAAGTGTCGGTTGCTAATAACAGGAAATCAGACTGTATATCTGATAAAACAGGCTCTAAACCGAGAAGCCTTATGCTACCTGTGGAAGAATCCAGTCTTTGGCTCTACTTCAGTGATGGCGAACCTATGACACGCATGTCAAAACGTGACATGCCACAACGTTTTGGGTGACATGCCAGCGTTCACCATCACCTGGCAACAACTATCCTCCCTGTTTGAGTTACCAAAGAAATTGAGTTTGTTTTATTCGTATTTCATGTTTGTAATTTTTTTATATAATACATAGCACCACACAGGATTGGGCTGTATTTTTTTTAAAATAAATGAATACGTAAAGAATGGTTTCTCTTTTATTCGGG